ATTTGCGCGTCTCGGGTTTCTTCTGAGCCACTTCGATTCTGCTCTGCTCATAGAGGGCAGCACCTTCTCTGAGGTGGGCACGCTAGGCTGGATGGTCCTGTGCCAGTGTTCTTCAGTGCCAAAATTCTTCATAGAGACAATGAGAGTGTCCTTGTTTCACTTTTTTCTTTTTTTGTATATAAATTTATTTATTTTTAGTTTTCAACATTTATTTCCACAAGATTTTGAATTCCATATTTTCACTCCATCTTGCCCCTCCCCCACCCCAAGATGGCATGCATTCTGAATACCCCTTCCCCTAGTCTGCCCTCCCTTCTATCTCTCCCCCCCTTCTCTTATCCCCTTCCTTTTCTATTTTCCTGTAGGGCAGGATAGATTTCTGTACCTCATTTCCTGTATTTCTTATTTCCCAGTTGCATGTGGAAACATTTTTTTTAAACATGTGTTTTTAAAATTTTGGGTTCTAAATTTTCTCCCTTCCTACCCACCCTCATTGAAAAGTCAATACAGGCCATACATGTGCAGTTATGCAAAACACTTCCATAGTGGACATGTTCTGTTTCACTTTTTTCTGATCACCGTGTACGTGCTTGACTTGTGTGAGTTCTTCATAAAATAGTCTTTCAGTCAAGTGCACATTTGGCATTTGAACAACATGGCCAGCCTATAAGAGTTACACTCTCTGTACTAGAGTCTGAATGCTTGGCAGTTTAGTTCTAGAAAGGACCTCAGTGTCTGGTACCTTATCTTCCTAAGACAATTCAGATGGAAGTGATTCAGATTCCTGGCATGGCACTGGTATGCTGTCCAGGTTTCACAGGCCTACAGCAATGCACAACGGTTCTGCAGACCTTTAGTTTGGTAGTCTGTCTAAAACCTCTTCTCTCCCACACTTTCCTTTGGAGCCTCCCAAACACTGAGCTAGCTCTGATAATTTGTGCATCAACCTCATTATCATTGTGTACAACCCTAGAAAGTATACTGCCAAGGTAAGTGAACTTATCCACAATATTCAAGACTACTCCATTTGCTGTAATCAATGGTTCCATGTATGAATGGTGTGCTGCTGGCTGATGGAGCACCTATGTTTTCTTTGGTGTTAATTTTTAGACCAAAATTAGAACAAGCAGCAGAGACTCCATCCATACTTTCTGGTGTCTTAGCTTCAGAGACTGCATTGAATTCACAGTCATCTGCAAACAAAAAAATCATGCACCAACTCTCCTTCCACTTTAGTCTTGGCTTGTAGCCTTTTCAAATTGAATGCTCTACCATCAGTGGGGTAGCTGACAAGAACATGGGAAAGAAGAAGGTAATGAGCATTAATATAGCATCTACTATATTCCAGACACTATACTGAGCATTTGTTACAAATATTATCTCATTTTATCTTCACAACAACCTTGCAAGGTAGGTGCTATTATTATTCTCATTTTACAGTTGAGGAAACTGAGGCAAACAGAGGTTAAGCATCTTGCCCAGGGTCACACAGTAGTAAGTGAGGCTGGATTTGAATTCAGGCCATGCTTCATTCCCCTTCTAGCTGTGCTTTTGACTTGATGATTTTTGCCACTGGGACTCAGCTACCTTCTCACCCTGGAATTTCCTCTCAGCTCCTGCAACCTTCTGACCTTGCATCTCTCATTGCTGAGCTCTTCCCATGGGTGTCCATTTTGAGACAGGCTGCCCGTGCTTCATTTCCCTTTTGACTGTGTTTACGACTCTATGGACTTCATCATTCCCCTAGCTGGTACCTTCTCAACCCCCCAACCTCTTTTCAGCTCTCTTCTGTGTGTTGTCTTCCTCCATTTAAGTGTAAGCTCCTTGAGGGCAGGGACTTTTTTTCCTTTTTCTTGTATCTGTATCCAAAACGCAGTGCCTGATGAACCGTAGGCACTTAACAAATTATTGTTGTCTGCTTTGTTGCCTGGTTCATTTGGTGGCAGCTCCATTAGTCTCCTATGGAAGCACTGGACTAGTTTTATTGGTTCTCTGGGCAAGAGGAGTAGGGGCTCTTTAGGCCTGATGGGCTCTTTGCTGTCTTGAGGGCCTTTTATTCCTTAAGGTTCAAGTCATCTTAGTTTCCTGGACCAATTAAGTGCTGGGTGATTTCATTGTTTTTGTAGGGAAGAGCTATCTTAGCGTAGGCATCTGGGCCTTTCTAGTCTTAGTAGATATCATTTTTATCACAGGATAAGCTCTCAATCCTGGTGGGTTCTGGTCACATACACCTTGTTGGTTGTACACGAGCACTGTGATCCCCTCACCTACCTACCTTACTCACTCCTGGTCCCCTGGGGTAAGTTAATTTACACTAGGTGTTTATGTCTCATATGAGTATCACCCTTCTCTTTTGAACTATTCTAAAACTATACTTTCTGGTCCCTGCTGGCTTTTCAACCTTTTCCTTGAATGTGATGTTCTCCAAGTCTCCATCTTTGGCTTGCTCCTCTCTTCCCTCTAGGTTAGAGTCTTGAAGAGTCTAACAGTCTCCTCTGGCAATTTCATTTATTCCCATGGCTTCAACTGGGATCTCTGTGTAAATAAATGCCAAACCCATGTCTCCAGGGCTGACTTTCATTACGAGTTCCAGATTCACATCTCTAACTGTATACAAGAAAACATCTCTACTTGTGTTTGTCACCAACATTTCAAACTCAGCTTATTCTAAACCAAGGTCAATATATTTCTCCTCAAACCTGCTACTCTTTCTGACAACTGTTTCTTTTAGGAGCACCACCAGTGACCCCATCTCTTATGTTCGTAACCTCTGAAAATTATTTAACATAGATTTTATGTAATGCAGGCTTAATGTATGCCTAGATCCCCTGACATGGCTTAAGGAGATGTTGAGAACTTGCTTCTAGGAGACAGGAGAACTGGTGTGTTCATGGACATTCTGTGTTGAACTATCCACATAGTTGGGAGCAGCCAGATGGCCCCAAGAAATAGATTTGGGGTTTTTAATCTTTTGCTTGTCTTTTTTTTTTTTAAGTTCTAGAAAAGGAGACCTGGGAGTTTTAGCCACAGGGATCCAGCAATTCAGGAATCTGGGTAGAAAATTGTAGTCAGCCCATCAGGGAAGCTTTGAGGAGCAAGAATCCAGAATAATCACCCAGTGGGACTTTGGACTTGAACTTGGTGGTACTATTGCTATGTGGGAACTGAGTTGAGCTGTGAGCCTAACCTCCCTCCTCTCTCTAGAGATCAAGGGGGCGTGTTGTTGTTATTCAGGCATTTCAATCATGTCTGACTCTTCATGACCCCATTTGGAGTTTTCTTGGCAAAGATACTGGAGGGATTTGCTGTTTCCTTCTCCAGGTCATTTTACAGATGAGGAACTGAGGTGAATAGGGTTAAGTGACTTGCCCAGGGTCACACAGCTAGTAAATGTCTGAGGCCAGATTTGAACTCAGGAAGATGAGTTTTCCTGACTCCAGGCCTAGCACTCTGGCCACTCAGCCACCTGGCTGCCCCTTCAAGGAGATGTAGGGAAGATTGTTCCCCCAAAAGTTTAAGTGAATGTTTGGATATTTGTTCTTGCTATACCTTTGAAGTAAATATTCCTTGGTAAAACATAAATTAATATTAAATGGTTTAAAAAAAAACTTGAATACTACTACTGGTTCCTAAAAATGGGGAAGGGGATACAATTGCTGAGGGCTTAAGTTGATGACAGAAGAACAGAGATTCCTCAGGTTGCTGGAGAACTCTAGAGAAAGAAGCAATATATAACAGACTTGGCCATAAAGTCACATGTTACATTTATTTTTTGTTTTCTATTCACATGTTTTCGCCCCTTAACAGAATGCAAGCTCCTTGAAGGCAGGGCTATTTTCTTTTTGTCTATGTAGCCCTAGGGCCTAGCAGAAGGCTTGGTACATGGCAGGAGCTTGATAAATGTTTGCTGAATTGAATTAAAGCCCTGACTTACCTTTTAAGTCCCAGATGAAATGCCCTCTCTTCCAGGAAGGCAGATCCCTCAGACATCACATAGAGCATTCTTCTGTAACTCTAATGCACTCATCGTGTAATATCACTTATTATAACGATCTCTGTTGGTGTCCTATCTCCTCCTTAGGCTCCATGAGTATGGGGACCATGTCTGACCTAAATTTGGTGTCTCTCCTAGTGCGTAGCATGTTGCTCTGCACCCAATAGGCGCTTTTCAAAATGTTTTATTGTAAGCGTAGCTCTGCGGTTCTTTGAAGATTGCTGTTACCACAAAGCCAGCTTTCCGCTGTACCAACATTGCGATGCTGGGATGTTGATCATGTAGATTCTAGCTTTAGAATAAGTCGTTTGATATTTCTGGCAGTTGGTTTATTGTTCCGATCATTTTTCATCTGCAGTATGATAAAATTAGAGTATCCTGAGCCCCTATCAACTAATAAGGAGTATAAGAAAGAGGGAGAGTCATCAGTTTTAATTATGGCTTGCTGGGCCATTAACCGGTTATGTGACCTTGGGCAAGTTACTTAGTCTTTCTAAGTCTCAGTTTCCTCATCAATAAAATGGGAGAGTTGGATTAGATGATTTCTAAGGTCCTGGTGGAAATGAGAAGCCTGCCTGTAGTGAATGTTTTGCACCATTAACATGTGAATTGGCCACATGTAGATCATTTGAACTCACTGTTAACGTAATTTCACCACTGAAGCAATCTTAGATTAGTCACGTAGGCCACTAAGTGGCGCAGTGGATAGAGCACTGGGTCTAGAATCAAGAAGACCTGAGTTCAACTTCAGCCTCAGAACCGTAGGCAGGTCACTTAATCCCATTTTCCTCAGTAAAATATGGATTTATAATACCACGGACCTCACAGGGCTATTGTGAGGATCAGATGAGATAATATTGGTAAACTGTTTAGCCCAATTCCTGGCACAAAGTAGGCACTTAATAAATGTTCTTTCCCTTTCCTTCTTTTCCCCTTCCCCTATTGGGAAGATACACCAAAGACTGTGCAGCACCATTTATGCAAGCAAATTTAATTCATACTCAATTCAACAAACTTTTATTTAGTGCTTACTGTGTGCCAAGCACTGTACTAAGATCTGGGAAAACAAGTTAGTAGGGGATTATTAAGGCACAGTGTTTTGTATGTTGCCAGTCATGGTCACTGTGCTGAGTGTCTTTGCTTAGTTATTTTTCTTTGTTATAAGGAGAAAAAAAAATATTTCTAAGGAATGATTTCCATAAATGACTGGAATGTAAAAATCAAAGGCCTCAATGCTTTTGTTTTTTTTAATTTAAAAAGGTTCTGGGGAACAAAAATCTAAGGTTATTAATTTCTTCACACAAAGATGTGATCTTGCCTTGATACAGAGACTTGGACCAGAACTTGCCTATCCTAAGATGCTGTGGTTAAACACAGGCTACAAGGGAGCTGTGACGTGGTCCACGAAGGCCTAACTGCTGTGTGATTAACCAGCACCTTAGTGGGTGAAATTCAATCCTGAGAAGAGGTGATGATTCAAGGTATCGGTTTGTACTTGTCAGGCCCAGGGCTGGTCATAACGTCCTGAAATGAAAGATGAAGCATCATTGGAATGAAAATACACCAGAGTGATCCCCCAAAATCTGTGACAACTCATGGCAGCCTACATTGACTGGTCCCCACCTTCCCTAAGTGAGTAAGCTTCCTTTCCCACCGTCTTTCAGCTCAAACCATGCCCTCCTCCCTCTCCCTTTCTCCTCCTCTCTCCTATCTCTTCTTGGTCTCTCTGTTTCTCTGTCTCTATTTGCCTCCCTCTTTCCTCCTTTCCTCTTTTTCCTTCTCTCATATCCTTTTCTCCTTTTTTCTCTACTTCTATTTTTCTCTCTTTTCTCCCTTCCCCCCTTCACCCTCTGTCTGTCTCTCTCCCTTTTTAGTTCCCTCCTTCCTTCTCTCTCCTCTCTTTCTTTTTATCTCTATTTTTTCTCTCTCTCTTTCTTCTTTCCCTCTCTCTTTCACCCTGTCTTTCTCTGTGTGTCTGTTTCTGTCTCTGTCCCTCTGTCTTTCTCTCTCTCTTTCCCCCTCCCCCCACAATTCTATCTCCCCCTCTCCTTCTCTAAAAGTAGGAAAGTGAGAGAAGATATGCGCCAGAGAGACAACATACTTGGCACTTAAAATAGCACCTTTCATATGTGATGCTCCCAGAACTCTTCTTCGCCTTGTCATAATCACCACAGAACCCTGGTGAAGCTGATCATTATGAGGAGCTGAATTTCCTGGCAAAGGGAAATGAGGCCCCCAGAGTCTGTAGCCTGCCCCAAGGTCCTGGGAAAGATGGAGGGTGTGGGGGGGTGCAGGTTGGGGCTCTGAGACAGAGCTGCAGTGACAGCCCAGCCTTGAGCATGTGAAACTCCTGAGACTTCCCCAGCCCTCCCTAACACAGCCAAGCTTCCCTTCCTCAGTGGCCCCAGAACACAGGGAGAAGCATCTGAAGGCAAATGAAATGCTATGGGCTTAAAACCCAACCTCAGAGGAATAGGAGAGTGGTTTAGGAGGAGGTAGTGGAAATCACCAAAAGGAAGCTCTGTATTCTTTCATACAACATGTAATTACCTCTCAGCAGAAGATGTCATGGATTTGTAATGAAAGCAGACAGTGGGGGAAGAGAAACTCTGACAAGCATTTGATTTCTCATTTATCTACCTAACTCTTTATTAGTTTACTTATTTATACATTCATCTATCGACCTGTCTGTTTATTTATTTATTTGATACTTAAATACCTAAAGCATTCAGGACCTTCACTGACCGAGCCCACCCCACCAGACCAGGTCAGGGCACATGTCCTGGTACAATGAGTTGGAATTGGAGACAAAGAGCCCAGGTTCACTGCCACTTACTAATGTGTGACCTTAAGCAAGTTTCTTCACCTATAAAATGCTGTGAATTGGACCAGATGACCGCGAGGGTCCCTCCCTCCCATTTCTAAATCTAGGACTCCCTTTTCCCAATACCACCTAGTCAGAAGTTGCCTGGGAGTTTTCCCCAAGCTCTCCTTTCTTTGGCTCCTGAACCATCCCCTGGCATCCCCTCCAGAATGGCAGCTCCCTCCCCAGTGCAGGACAGCCTGGCAGTCCCTAATCAGCTCATCCCTCCTGCCTGCTGCAGCTTGTTAACCAGGGCCTCCTGATCCCTTTCCTTCTCCATGACAACGGTCTTCAGAGACACCCACTTCTCTGCATCAGTTACCTCTCAGGGTCATGTTTTCTGGCAAAGGAAAGAGAGCCTGTTTCCTGAGTTCTCTGCCCTCTGTGGGGGCTGTCTGCATCCTGGAGAGGAAAAGTGGGGTGGTGGTTGTGGGAGGAAAGGAGGAGAGCCCTGGGGTGGAATGATTGGTAGCTCCCGGAATTGGTCAGGTGAGCAGAACCTGGGCGTTGAGCCAGAACAAACGGGCAAACCCAAGGCCAGGCACAAAGGACCCTGTGTGAAGTGAAACTCCTAGCCCCAAATCCAGGTCAGCTCATATTTCCTAACACAAAAGGAACTGATTCCCAGGCCAAGCTGGGTGCGGTTTGTGGGCTGCACCCAACTGGAAGAGCCAGACATGGGGCTGGGAGCTTGGACTCCGGGTGACCCAGCTCTGTGGACTCAGTTCTCACTGGAATTTCTCCCTCAGTCTGCAAATGGGCAAGTTGGAAAAAGGTCTGGGTGGGCAGGTTACACCCTACAGTCAGTGTTTGTTTTGCTGCTTCTAGGCCCCTCTTTTTCCTGTGGGAAAGGACTCCTCTGGGTCGCTGGGCAGTTTCAAAAATAATAGTAATACAGAAACTCTGAATGATAGAAGATTCCTCAGCCACATTAATTTAGCCAACTCTGTAGATTAGTACAGGCTTATGGTCTGGGATAAATTCATGTAGGCCCCAAATAAGTCAGGAGACAAAGGAAATATCGATTTAGAAGGAGACTGTGGGCATATTCTTCAGGGCATCATGTTGAAGTACAATCAATCATTCAATAAGTATGTATTGTCTACCGTGCTCCATTCACTGTGCTAAGAGTAAGAGTATATGAATGATGAAATACTCACTTCCCTTCTGTTAGGTGAGACCACATGTAAACAGAGATGTACAAAATAGAGACAAGGAAGCTGGGAGGGGCGGAGGGACACCACTAATATACTCAATAATGACTTGGCAAAGATGAGGAAAATGGAGAAACTGATTGGTAGATGAGATTGCCTTGTAGACAGATTTAGATAATCCATGTTGACTCTTCATTTTTGTCAAAGCTCAGTATGTTATCATCCAGTACAGGCTGATACCACATCTTGAAAGAGGAAGAACGTCAGACAAAATGCCATGTTTCAGTAGGCTTAGGTTTGCTATGGAGCAGGCGTGTGACCTTGGACAAAGTTCAAAGTATTTATGAAGTACCTACTACACGCCAGGTGTTGTGCTAAGCTCTGGGGATACAAAGAAAGGCAAAAATAGCTCCTGACATCAAAGAGCTTACATCCTAATGGGGGAAGACGATATGAAAACAAATGCGCATATATAAGATCTACCCAGAATAAGAAGATGGGAGGTAATCTCAGAGGGAAGACATCGGGAGGTGGGAGGGAAGGCAACTTCAAAGGAAGCCAAGAGGCAGAAATATGGAAGAAATATTCCAGGCATGGGGGACAGCTAGTGAAAAGGTACTGAGTCAGAAGATGGAGCATCACTCAGTTTTCTCACCTATAAAGTGAGGAAATTGAACTAGAAATTGATTTCTGATGCTAATGTATTTTCTTCTTTGGATGTGGAGTTTAGTTTTCCTTGTAAGAGCTATCCCTTCTGTAAGAGATGTACCCATCAGTGGTCTACAGCAGACTCACTCTTAATAAGGTTACCCCTTTCATTGGGAGCCATTTTTTCCCAAAAGCTAGCCACCACCTCCTCCTCCTCCTCCTCCTCTTCCTCCTCCTCCTCCTCCTCTTGTGCTGTGTTCCCTGTAGAGCATGTGGACCTAATTATAAAATGAGACCCAGAGAAGTTGAATGACCTGCCTAAGGTTACAAAAGTAATATATGTTAGGATCTGAACTCAGGTCCTCTTACTACAATCCCAGTCCTTTTTATAATAGCATCATAACTAGACTACATACCCTTAGTTTTCCGACTCTCTAATCTGTCCTTCACATAACTGCCAAAGTAATCTTTTGTAAGACACATGGGTTTACTCCCCTAACTTACACTGGCACTGACAATTTGGGTCCTGAGAAAGATAGCTGCTACCTCAGTTTCTGGAGATAATCCAATTGTCTAGCCTCCCAGCAGTGCACGAACCCCTACCAGTGCACTTCTCCTTAATCATCCAGTATACTTGACACTTTTAGAAAAGACATATACTATAGGTGAACAAGACAACTTTCAAAGTTACCTGTTGAATTTATTACATACTTAAAAAGAAAAGCAAGCTCTATATAATAAAGATTTGTAGTTTCATGTATAATCTTTTCATTTTATTTGGTGTTTGTTAAATTCAGAATTTTTTTAAAAGAATTTTTTTTAATGGAGAAAAAAGGGCAGCTGCACAAATAAATTTTGATCTAAAAAAAGGCATTTATTTAAATGTGACCACAAGAACCTGTTACAAAGATTTTCCCATGAAAACCTGGACACATTCTCCTACTAATACACAAGGAGCCTGTGGGAGAAAGAGTGGGCATGAGCTACAATGGGAGTGAGGCACATACGTAGGGAACACATATGGCTAGGTCAACTTTCAGCTCTGGCAGAGCAGTACCTCAATGTCCTTACTCTAGAAAATCCTAAAAATGAATGTTAAAAATTGTCTTTACATGTAACTGGGGGGAGGGAGGGAATAAAATATTATTTAAAAGAAAAAAAATTTAAGCAGAAAATCCTGACAAAATTAACTAGGTGAGTCAAGGGAAGGTGAGTGGGTTGGTGTTGGGGATTGGTGAGTCTCTCTACTATTTGACTGGGCTGGCAGGTAACAATGTCTCCAAGAGATGGATGAACCCATTGCTGGGCTGGGGCAAGCAGGTTGCTCAGCTACTGCTGATCTGACTTCTCATTAGGTTTAGCTGCTGCTGGATTGGATAGATCAGGTTGCTTTGTCCAGACTGAAATCAAGACAGGAATGGCTGGACAGGTCATGTTGCTGCTAAGTGGCTAGGGCAGGCAAGGAAGGTCGCTCGGCTATTAGGCTATTGCTGCTGGCCAGTCAGTAACCACTGGGCTTTTTACAGAGTTCAATATTTCTTCGGGATGAGTTAATCTGCTGGACTCCCTGACGTCACTTTGATGAGCAGCTGTAGCCTTCTCTGCCTCCAGCCTCCAGCTCTGCTGAGCGTTAGAGTACTCTTAAATGAAGAGACAAAGTTTTCTATTGCCCTCTTCAGCAAAGGCATTTACCTTAATTTAAGATTGGCAGAAGCCTCTCCTCCAAGAAGGAGATAGGAGAGGTCTAACCTGCCTCGTTTAACAATTCTTTCTAATTCAGAGTAAGTTGCGTTTTTTTTTTGACTAAGTAATAGTGGCCATTCTTTGCCTCATTTCTTACCCAACCTTAATTACTGAATGGCTTGCCTCAATCAAACTGAGATCTGTTAAAGACCTTACCTTAAAAAGGCCAAGGTCTCCCACTGCATCCAGTGTTACCTCCAGTCTTCCTGACTTATATCTTGCCACTGGACCCAGATGGTTTTGGAGGAGAAAGTGAGACTGATGACTTTGCACAGTCCTCCCTCACTTAAATCCACTTGCATGTCACAGCATCACCTTCCTGATGTCTCTGCTGGCCTTTTCATAAACATTTGAGTCATTCTAGCCCCAAATCATCTCTAAGGTGTGGTGTTTCCTTTACATATGAAAGGGTTCACTTTGCATTTCAATGTCTCTGTCTTTTGACCATAAGATCTTCACCTTGGCTGAAGACAATACAGGTACCTCTTTACACTTTCCAATTTATAAGCCTGTTAATGGTGCTCCCTATGAAAGACCTTCAGTGGCTCCCTACACAAACCAGGTTCTTTTAAAATACACAACCTAGAGGCGATCTGATTTGAGATGAGAGGTGAGAGTGGTGGAATAAAATGTTGGCTAGTCAAAGACTGCTCAAATTAAGGAAATCTCTACATATAAAGGAGAGACTTTATACTTTGTTTCATTTACGGAAGCACACAATTCTAAATATCAGTTTTTAAACAAATTTTTAAAATTACAAGTGAATTCAACATTAATTGGTGCTTTCAAACTGTTTTCAAATGAATCTAAGTGTAGGAAATGGGGACCCTACTTTATCCTGCCAAATACCCGTGAGACCTTGGGCAAGTCACTTAATGGTGACTTGGCCTCATTTTTCTCATCTGTAAAATGGTCTGGATTTGATGGTTTCTGAGGTTCCTTCAGGCTCTAGAGCTATGATCCAATTAGACTAATTCATTGATATTTTCTTTAAGTCTTAGTATATTGGGCTTCATATGAAATAAACACTCAGTAAATATTTTTGAATGTCTAAAAAAAAGACCAGAGATCAAAGTCAAAGCCGGGAGGAAAAATACTCTTCCCAGCCAGAATTTTGAGAAGGCCAGACAGGCAATCCATTTGGAGGGCTGGGGTTAGGAAGTGGTACAAAACTTCACACTGAGCAGTTACCCCAGTAGGCTGAATTCACAGCCATCAGGGGTGTGGCACAGTCAGCAAACCGGCTCTGAGTAGAAGGAACTCAGGCAGACCTGGGAGTAGGGGCTGGGGAGAATTGAGATGGGTGAGGAAATGGGGAGGAAGAGCTCAGCAGAGGACTGGGCTAGGACTTTTCCTCTGGGGAGCAGCAAGGGGAAGAAGGAAGGAGGACTTCTGCTTGAAGATTAGACATCAAAGGACTGGCTTCCTGAATGACGGGATTCTCCACTAGTTTGAGTAGAGTCAGGCTGCCTTGCAAAGGGTGGGAGTTTCTTGAAGGTTGGTCCGTAGCCAAAGAGATGTAATTAGAGCCAATTCCAAAGAGCTTCACACCTTGATTGTTTGGAAGGGTTCTTCCACGAGAGGGCCGGCTAATGGGGCATATGTAGGAAAAGAATAGCACTGTGTACGAAGAGACATGTTGGTGTCTGTGGCATTGCCTGACTCTGAAATATGGATGTGCACGGTTGGACTTGATACTTCTTCATCCATGTCCTGTAGCCAAGGCATGACCAGACCCATGGAAAGAGCCCAGCTACCTTGGCCATGGAGGCCAATTGGCTTCCATGTCTCCAGTCCCTCTCTCTCCAATCCACCTTTCCCACTAGATTCTTGTTAAATTTACAACCCTGAAA